TTTTATTTTTTCAAAATTTCTATTTACCTCAAATATAATGATTTATTTCACTCTTTAAAATCCCTAAGGCAAATTGCTAATGGTCAATTAATTTATAGTAAATATAACATACATCACATGATACAAAGTTTATTTTTCATAATAAAAATTTAACATTGAAATAAAAATTAATCATTTAATTTAATAAAAAAAATTATGTGTTAAAATTAATTTTCATTAACACATTTTTATCTTTTTATAAAACATCAATAACTATATATGTATTTATTTTTAAAAAAATTTTTATTAATTTTTTTTTTTTTTAAAATATTGAAATTAATTTTAATATTACTAAACTTTTATAAATTAAAGCTTTCACAATAGTATTTTCAAATGGGTGTATTAGAAGAAAAAATGGATCAGCTTATTTAATTATTAATATATAAGCCTTATTATGAACAACTTAAAAGTAATTATAGAAGCAGCATATGAACCACAAGTGATTTTTAGATGTGACTTTGAAATCAACATTTTTAGCACAAAATAAGACTATAATAAACCAGATTTAGTAAAACAAGAATTCAAATCAACACCTTTATTTATAATTTCACAAAATAACATATATATATAGGTTTTACAAATTGAAAGATGAGCTAAAGGCTTTAGTTATCAATACTACAACATTGTCATTGATCTCTACAAGTATTTAAAAACGAATTTTGTATAAGCAGGTACTGAAACATTTAAATCTTTATCAGAAAACTCAAAAACGATGAAACCAATAAAGGAAAATGTATAATTTGTTAAAATAAAATAAAATAAAATAAATGTACCAAAAAAATTTTGCATCATAATATATTAATAACTCAATAATTTTTTAATTTAAATAATAAATATATAAAATAATTAAATAAAATAATTATAAATATACTTTTAAAAATAAAATAAACTTTATTTATTATTAATGATGCCCATGTTTGTGAATATTACTTTTTTTAAAAGATTTTCAAATTCTTCATCACTTTTAATTGTTAAATAAATGGTTCTTGGAGTAATTGTTGTTTTATTGTTTAAAACCAAAGTGTGGATTGAAATTATAAATAGTTCTTTAATTAAATAATATAAAACACCAGAAAAAAAAGTTGCGACATCTCTTCTAATATACTCAAATCTATTATCTAGTTTTAATTTTCTTTTAATAAAATTTGAAAACTTTTTGAAATTTTTTCTTTTATTTTCTTTATTTTCTATATTTCTTTTATTTATATTTGAAGGTTTCATTTTAAAATTTAAAAAAAATAAAATTTATTAAAAAAAAAATTTATTATGAATTTAAAAAAAGATAGTACTATTTTTTTTATTTTTTAATTATAAAACCTAATATAGAAATTATTTAGCCTATTTGAATTACATTTTAAATACTTTGGGATGAGTTTTCTTTGTTTGGGTTTTCTATTGTTTTTTTTGAAGATTTTCCACTTGTTTCTTTTAAAGATTTTTTATTTTTGGAAGTTTTGCTATGATAAATTATAGTTTGTGGAAAAACACCTCCAAAAGCAATAGTAACATTTTTAAAAAGCTGATTTAATTCGAGATCATTATTAATAGACCAATTAATGTGTTGGGGTGAAATTCTGCTTCTTTTTTGTGAAATTGAAAGATTTAAACTTAATTCAAGAACTTCTAAAACCAAATACTCTAAAACGGCAGCTAAATAAACTGGAGCAGTACTTTGAAGTTTTTTTGCCTATTAATGGATTAAAATATAGTTATGTTAATAATTATTTAAATCTTATTTTTTTCAAGCATACTTACATAACCTCCTTCTCGTAATAATCTATCAACTCTTGATACTGGAAAAATAAGACCTGCTTGAGTAGATCTTGAAGTGGGTGTTTTAAATACCTTTTTCTGTTTATTTTGAGAAGTATTTTTTTCATTAGCTAATTGATCTATTTTTGATTTATTTTTACTTTTTTTATTTATTGTAGACATTGTTAAATTAATAATATAAAACTATATTTTATGAATATTCTTTATTGTGGAAATAAATAAAAATTTAAAAAAAATAAATTAATTTTTTTTTTTTTCAAATAAAATAAAAATAAAAATAGAAATATGAAATATTATTAATTTTATTTTAATAAATTATTTAAAATTGATTTTGAATGGTAATATTTTTCTTTATGTACACTTAAAAAGAAAACTGATTTTAAATTACTATAATTATCAATTAATAAATTGATTTCATTTAATTTTTCATTTAATGATTGATAGTCTTGATTTTGGTTTTTTTTTTTTTGAATTTGATTAAATAAAATAATTGAAATTAAATTTAAATAATGGATTCTATAGGGATGACTAGATGATAAATTACTAATTATATACTCTTGGCCATTTTCATAAAGATGAAATAAGATTTTGTCTGTGATACTCTTCTGTTCCCCAAATTCAAATAATATATTAAAAATGAAAAAGTTAAAAATATATGAAGAGTTTACAAATTCCAATTCATACATTAGTGCTTTCCTTAGACCCATATCTATTTGATTGTTCATTGAGTGAATAATAACTGAATAGTATGCCAAGGCTTCATTATATTGATTTTGAAAACTCTGCGAATAAAACTCGATTGGGTTTTCTTCTGATGACGATACGGATGGTGCTGATAACTCTATTATTTGAAGTAACTCTTGATATTTTAATTTATTAAAACGATTGAATCCAATATAGCATATATTTACTCTTTGGTCATTTGGTTTTTCTTTGATTAACCGGTCAAGAAAATTTGAAAAGTATACAATCAAATCGGGTGGAACTCTTAAAACATATAAATAATCTATTTTACAGTATAGATCTGCCAATATTTTAATTAATTGATACTTTTCTTCCATAAGGTATTCCTTTCTTTCTAATTCCAGTTCATTTACCTGTTGAAATGATGATATGAAACAATTGAAACTTGAATAGACCTTGTATAAACCCAATGCATATTCATTTTCACTGGTATTATTTTCAACTATTTCTTTTATATTATTAAAATCTATTGGCTGCGCATATTCCTTTAATAACTCTTTAGAAAATAAACTTGAACTATTAATATTTTCTTCTAATGATAAATCGATATTTCTTATAATTGGTATGTTTATATCCTTTGATATATTATCTTTTTTTTCTTTATTATTAATAATAATTGAATATTTTAAATATTTTTCATAACATCTTGATGAATATTGAGTTTGTAAAAGTTCTGATCCCATTTTCCAGTATAAACATGATTTTTCTATTTCTGTAAAGTTTTTTAAATAATAATCATCTTCTTTAAAAATATTATCAAGTTCCCTAATTGTACCCAAAAAGCCGATTGAATAATATGCATTTGCTGTAGAGCCATAGTCTTTCTTTAATGAGTTGGGAATAATTGAATTTTGGCATATATGAATTGACTTTTGATAATAATATTTTGCCTTTTCAATATCGATATCTTGATTTAAACCACCAAATTTATAAATTGAACCCAAAAATTCATTCATATTGGCAACATCAAAATTTGAAAGTTTATATTGAGTACGTGAATCGGAACAATTTACATTGGTAAATGGAACTGGAAATGTTGTAATCTTCATTATTAGTGCCAAAATTAATTTTGTATTTAATATTTTGATGGATGGTTGGTCGTGGACTAATGACTTTACAATTAAAAAGTATGGACCGGATAGTTTGGTGTCACTTGCAACAAATCTCTTTAATATGCTGTAGCATTCACTTAGACTATATGGCTCTTTATCTTGAGGGCTATTGGCTTCGATTTTTTCAATAATTTCCGATACTTGTAAATAGATATTTGCTTGAATAGCTATTCTAATGTCCTTACTTAGATCAAATAATTTTGAAGAGTCTGGTTGAACAACACGATGGAATGATTTGAAAAAGTCATTTGATAGTTTTTCTTTGAAATTATCACTAACTAACCTGGAATAATTAAAATACTCATTTAATAAAATTGAAGTTTCTTCTTCAAAATCTCTGGTTACAACGCCATTGTTATTCTTTAACGCACGTTTAATTACTGATAACTTTGCCTTATTTTCTTGAATAATTTTGCCAATTAAAGTTTGATTTTGTTCATTTGATTGTAAAAGCAAACAAGATTCAAAGAAATCGTTTGATTTTTCATAACATGATAGCTTTGACAAAATAACACCCATTCTAAAATATGATTTTCCTTTTTCTGGTTGGTAAATAATTGATTGGACCACATGTGATTTCGATTTGATAATATATTCATATTCTTTGTTATCAGTTGAAATGATACCATTTAATAGACCAGAACCACACTCTTTTGCCAACTCGAATAAGGAAATGCCACATTTCAAATGCAAGATACTTTTGATATCAGTGGGTATTTCTTTTAACGCTAACCCTCTGTTATACTCTGAATAGGCACCATTAAAGTTTCCATTTTTCATATTTTCGTTGCCCCATGCAATATAATCCTTTGCCCTTTGATTATTCTCTTCCACCATAGATTCCGAAGGTTTTGTCAATTCTTCCATATCACTATTGGTCAGTGATAATTTTTCAATAGTCTCTTGAATAATATTCTTTAAGCCAACATAATTTTTTTCACAGATTTTATATTCTTTAAAATTATTAACTAAAAAAAATAAAGAAATTAGTATATTTTTCTAATTTATCAATAAAAATATTATTTTAAAAGTATAAAATTACATACTATTAGTTAAAACAATATTAATTGAATTTATTAAGTCATTTTGATTTCCTAAAAGTTCTTTTTTGATAATTTGATAATTTGAATATAATAATAAATTTATTAAAATATTGAATGAAAACCTTTCTAAAATGCCCATTCTTAAAACTTCTCTTTCTTTAAGTGTAAAATTTTCGAAAATATCTTCTTCTAAACAATCAATTATATAATTGGCATTATCACTGCTATTGACCCATTCTATACTATTTTCAACTTTATATCGGTGTTTAAATATATATATTAATCTTTCAGTTATTGATACCTCTATTAAACTTTTAATTCTAAAATAATTTATTAGTTCCATTAATATACAAATTTATTATTATTATTATATTATTAAATTATTGTATTATTATTTATTATATTGTTATTTATTATTAAAACTTGTTAAAATTTTTGGAAATAATTAAATAAAAATTAAAAAAATAAAAAAATAAAATAAAATAAATTTCTTATAACAAGCAATAATTGAGGATATAATTACCTAAAATAAAACGAATGTATTTTTTATTATAATAAAAAAAAATTTTAAAATATATTTAGATATACCTATTTTGGGAACTGAATGATTTACATTATTTATTGTGATGCTAATTATGATTGTTATAATGATAAAAATATATATTTATATTTATATTTATATGGTTGAAGCTAATAATAAATAATTAAAATAATATTAAAAAAATTTAAATTTTCTTTTTTTTTATTTTTTTAATTTTTGCTAAAAATACACCCAATATTACACATATCAATGGAAGTGAGTTTTGAGTTAACGCTTGTACCAGAAACCAAGAGCATGAAAATAGTAGGAACGGATAACTTCAAAAGGAACATCTTCAATATACTCAATCAATTGATCCAAAAAAGATTTTTTGGTGTTAATCACTCTTTTGTTGTAAAACCTCCTTTTAATATAAAAGAAATAAAGTTCGATTGGATTTAGTTTTGGCGAATATGTTGGGAGATAGGCAAGAGTGCAGCCTCTTGCTTTAAATAGTTCTATAAGAGCGGGAATAATTTCAATATATCCATGGAGTGGTGCATTATCCAAAATGACAACGCAACCTGGTGGAAAAAAACCTTTTTGAAGAGACTGGCCAAGAAAATGAACTAAATCTTCGGGAGTATTGGGTTTATCATTAAGTTTATAAAATGTTTCGCCAATGTGACTGATTCCAAAGAACCCATTATAGGTTTCAAATGGGTCTCCTTCCCGATATATTGGCCCAAATGTATTTCTAACCAATTCTTTTGAACAAAAAGAACACTCATCAAAGAAATAAATTAGGTCCCAATCAACACTACAGGCGATTGTGAGAAATTCACGATAGTTGGCCAAATTTTCATCTGTAAATTTACTTATCTATTTTTAATAATTAATAAATATTTTTTCATGAAAATATATTAAATAATACAATTATTACTTACATCTTTATAAATTGGTGTTCGAATACCAAGCAAACGGTATATATAACCCAATCGATCTGTGCCTACTGGCTGATTGAATAATTCCATTTCATTGAATTTTTTAGCCAATTCAGCTCTACTAAGTAGTGGGTTTCGTTTGATAAATTCTACCACCAACAATTTAAGATAAAAAGTTTCAATTTCATCAAAACCTTGTCTTTCACGTGGTATTGTGGCTCGTGTACCTGATTGCATTTTATTCCTTTAAATAAATATATTTATATAGTTAAAACAAATATTAAATAATAAACACGATTTAAAAAAAAATGAAAAGATTTAAAATTTTAAATAAAAAATAAAATTTAAAAAAAAAAAAAAAAAAAAATTAAAATTAAATTTTTTTTTTTTTTTTTTTTTTTTTTTTTAATTTAAATTTTTTTTTTTTTTTTTTTTTTTTAATTTTTATTTTTTTTTTTTTAAATTGTAATAATATTGTTAGTTGTAGTGTGTGATATTTTTATTTATAATACATATTATATATATAAAATGTCATCACCATCTACACCAATTAAAAGCTCAGCAGATTTACAGAACGAACAGCAATCAACGCCAAGCAAAGTTACAATTAATATTGAAACTGCAAATAAAGAAGAGCTAATCGAATTTATTAAAAGACAAGCTTTGCACATCAAAAAACATGAGAGTAAAAATGCAACTATTATAGAAACATATAAGAAATTAAAGTCAGAATACTTGGAGCAAACAAAGAAATTTGATAATCAACAAGAAGAGATAAAACTATCAAAAGAGACTTCCCATGCAATTATTGATTCGTTACAATCTGAGATCAATGATTTAAAAAAAAATCAACAAACTTTTAAAACATTGGCTCAAATGAAAGATCAAATCGAAGAAAACCTTCAAACTAGATTTCAACAAGAAAAGTTAATTTTTAACGAAGAGCGTATTAAAATTGAAAATGAATTAAAAGAAAAAACAAATCAATATAACGAATTATTAAATGAAAATTTTCAAATAAAATCAAATTCAGAAAATGATAAAAATGAAATTATCAATTTAAGTGAAGATTTAGAAATATTAAAGCAACAACAAAAACAACAACAACTTGGTTATCATAGTAATGAAGAACAATTTAAATCTCAAATTAATCAATTAAAAGAAGAATTAGAATCAGTAAAACAAGAAAAAGAGCAAATGGATCAAACTAAAAATGATATTGATAATGATCAGCTTATTAACCAAATTAATCAATTAAATGAACAAAATAAAGAATTAATGGAACAGTTAGAAATACTAAAAGAACAACATCAACAACAATTGGCTCAATCTAATAACGAAGATCAAATTAATCAGCTAAATCATGAAAACAATCAATTAAAAGATCAATTAGAATCATTAAAACAACAAGATAGCGATAAAGAGGAATTATTAAATCAAATTGAAAAATTAAATCAAGATAATAAAGAATTATTAGATCAACTAGACTCTCTTAATAATAATAATAATAATAATAATCAAAATGAACAACACGACAATGCTGAATATGAAAATCAAATTAACAAATTAAAAGAAGAATTAGAATTACTTAAAGACAAAAGAGCTGAAGAAATTAACCAATTAAATGAAGAAAATAATCAATTAAAACATCAATTAGAATCATTAAATAATCCTCTTCAAAACAACTCCCAATATGAAAATGACATCAATCAACTAAAAGAAGAACTGGAATCATTGAAGCAACAACAAGAAAAAGAAAAGCAGGATATTCATCAAGAATTTACATCCCAAATTAACCAACTAAATGATGAAAACAATCGTCTAAAAGAAGATTTAGAATCATTACAAGAAAATCATGAACAACAAAAATCTCTTCACAGTGGTGGTCAGGAACAAATTAACCAATTAAATCAACAAATTCAACAATTAAATGAGCAGTTAGAATCATTAAAAGAGCAACACCAATTAGATCAAAATAATATTAATAAAGAACATAATAATGAAATCGACCAATATAAAGAACAGCTAGAATCATTAAAATTAGAAAAAGATCAATATCAATCACTTCAAAATACAAATAAAGAAGAGAGCGCTCACCAAATCAATCAATTAAACGAACAAAATAATCAATTAAGAGATCAATTAGAATCATTACAAAAACAACAATCTGCTCAAGATACCGACAACATTGATAAAATTAATCAACTTAATCAACAAAATGATGAGTTAAAAGAAGAGCTTAAATCAATTAATGAACAGAAATCAAATCAAGATAACAGCATCAACTATTGGAAGGATGAAAATAATCAAATTAGAGAAGATTTGAAACTATTAAAAGAACAACATCAACAACAACAATTGGCTTTAGATAACCAAATTAATCAATTAAATGGTGAAAACACTGAATTAAAGGATCAATTAAACTTGGTAAAAGAACAATATGAAAAGCAACAATCCAATCAAAATGGCACTATTGAAGAAAATTTAAATCAAATTAGCCAATTAACAGAACAACTAGAATCACTAAAAGAACAAAATCAACAAATTGAAGATCAAAAATCAAAAGAAAATCAAGAGTTATTAAACCAAATTGATCAATTAAATAATAATAATAGCCAATTAAAAGATAAATTACAAGAAATAATAGATCAACCACCATCAACTGAAAAAGAAAACAATAGCGATGAATATTTAAATCAAATTAATCAATTAAACAATAATAATAATGAATTAAATAAAGAACTAGAAGAATTAAAATCAAAATATGACACCTTATTAAATAATAATAGTAATAATAATAGTAATAATATTAATAATCACTTACAATCAAATAAATTTAATAATGAATATTCGGAAAGTTTACCATTAGATAAAAAGATTAGCTTAATATTGGAAGAAGAAGAAAGTGAAAGTGAAAAAGAAACCATCTCCGTTGTTGAACAAGATAAGATTGAAGAAGAAAAACTAAAAGAGCAAAAATTAAAAGAGCAAGAAGAAGAAGAAACCATTAATCAAATTAAAAAAGAAACTAAAGACTTTTATGAACATTTTATCAATGAAAAAGAAAATACTATCCAATTTTTAAATAAGCAAAAACAAGAGATTCAAGATATTATCAATGAACAAAAAGATGAAATAGAGAAATTGCAATCATTGAATGAATTAAAAGAAAAAGAACTTTTAGAATATGAACAAAATTCAACTCAGCAAACTAAAACACTTTATCAAGAGATTGAACAAATAAAAGAGCAATTAAGTCATCATGAACAATTGAAATCAGAACTTAACTCTGCATTAAAAGAATTAGAAAAAGATAATCAAGAATTAAACAGACAGCTATTAGATACCAAGCAAGTTCAGTTAGAAAAAGACAATCTAATTCAGTCCTTAAATCAACAGCTCCTCATCAAAGATCAAGAAATAGCTCAGCTTGAAACCAATAACAATAATAACAATAATAATAATGACACCATTAATC